TGGAATGAAATATAGCAAGACTTGCATTGCCTACTAAGAAAGTTAGTAGCCGGTAGTCATCGGGTTAAATGATTGAAGTCACAAAATGCAAATCACACAAAGAGCACCAAAAGATAAAAAAAAACATCTTAACGGGAGTACTGCCAAACGAGAAGTGATAGTTCAGTAGAATTGAATAAAGGGAATCACATGCACTCTTATTGGTGGAGGGTTGTTGCATGATGATTTGCATGAGAGATGCATTGGAATTGGTCAATTCCAATTGACGGAACATAAAAGGCTTGTGGCATGAGTAAAAAAATGTTTGCATATAGAGGACAGCACTGAATGAGAATAGCTATTCATGTGAGCGGAGTTAATGTATCATATCAGAAATCTATGTCATGTAAGCTATAAATTACTGATCTACTGTAAACACATGTACGTATATTAAAACCATCACAAAAAAAAACTTTTCACAATGTATGATTCACAGTACACTTCTCTATACTCTAATATATCTGCTTCTGTAATATAAAGTTTTCAATGATATGACAGAAACAAATTTCACTATTACATAAAAATAACGCTATAATCTTAGTTTAAAAGAAAGCATGTTAACTTTGTGTGGGGGACATTTCAATACCATTGAAAACATCAACTGTCAAATGCCACATCATATTGATATGTTAAGATATTTATCTTAATTATGAAAATGAATGCTTATATCAACACGAAGAAACCATGACTGAATCATAATAATGCTATTTTACAATGCTTCAAATATATATATATATAAATTCTTTTTTAGTAATGTTATATCTGTTGCAACTACATAAAGATGTGACAACTGTACATCAACGTAGTTCTCATTTTATGCTCAGACTGTATACATTTTTTAAATTTAAAACTTACAAATACATGCATATTTTATGACATTACTTCTTTATTCTTTCCAAACCTGTGTAACACAAACAACTTATCATTTTAGGCCTCATACAATTTACTATTCAAATGAAGACATTTATTGTTCCAAAAATGTTATCACACAACATCACTAGGCCATTTGCATATAAAGTAAGCATGACTTGTTGATTTTGCATACTTAGGAGAATAGGTGGTTGTTACTGATATATCTATTCTTTAATAACCAATCAAATATAAAAAGTATAATATCTATGTGTGAGAAAAGGGGGTCTGTTTGAACTTTCCAACTGGAGCCTTCTTTCATTCACTACATCTAATGTTTACACAAGTCCACTATGACAGTTATCAGAATAAGCATTTTACCAGTGGCAGTTTGGGTTTGCTAGACCAATTATTCTCAACTTCTGGTTTCTGGACATGTTTTTGCTAGTCCATAGAAAACTCCAGTGAATGTATGGTTCTTTCTGAATAACTATATATATATTATTAAAATTCTAATCTTTTCTGACTTATTTTTACAATCCTATGTATAACTATGTACATTCTGTGTATTATATATTTATAGGTCATATACCGTAATTGTAGGATAGACCTATATAATTCTAACAGCTCATAAGTTTTTTTACAAAGATATTGCTGGTGTGTGGAATGGAAAATCTTACAGAGCCAACTATTTATCTAATATAAAATTGAAGAGCAGGGTTTTAAAAGATAAGTTCAGCAAACAAAGACAGGAACCTTAGTATTATTTCTTCTATTTATGCAACATTCCGCAGTTCAATTATTAGCAGTATGTAACTTTTTCCCATTATTTAACAGCCAGTCTGCAAGTCAGGAACATACGTTTGGTGGTTGATCCACAAACAAAGCTTTCTGGTACTCTTTTTTTTTTCTTCTTAATCCTGAAAAGATATATGAATTCCTTACAATATCTGGAATCTGAACTGCCCTCCAGCATGACCAAATTTGCATTAGTTTCTATACTATAAGGGAGTAAAACCCATATTCCAATCCAAAATCCCACACAAAATGTGGTAATAGCCACAAATGTTGGGCAATCCAAGATCTGTTTCCTCAGCTCCATAAAACTGTTTTCTGATATTTTCCCAAGTTCTGTCAACAGAAATGGTTAAGGAAGGCTCAATGAAGCTAACTTGCTGCTGTAGAGAGATGTGCAGTACCTGCCTGCACATGTACAATTCTGCTATTATGTGCAAGAAAAATACCATATGGTCAACGTTCATAAACTCTGTATCTTTGTGATAAGATATTACTGATGTGAATTCTTTGGCAGTAAGGCTAACTGATCAAGCCCTTTATTGGAGTACATTTTTTGGTTCTAACTTGAATACTGGAAACAGTGACACTTCTGTAGCCCATCCAACTCCCCAAATTCAGTCTTATTGACTCATAGACTGGGTGTTAACATGTTTTTTATCCTAAAACTATTATTAATGAATAAATATTTTAATATTCCTGATTTTCTATTAGTAAAAAAAGAAAAAAACACTTGTCACCCTACTTGACGAACACACTGTATGGTGGCACATGGTTCTATGGCAATAGAAGCTTTCAAATATCCTAAAATTTCCTCAGCATGCTTTCCCATTTCTTGAAGGCCAGCTATTTCTAAGATCTGTGAAAGAACGCTTACACAGACTCGAAGCAGTCCTGAAAATTTCTCATTACCCTGAAAATCTGCAGAAATCTGTAGAATTAAAAAAGAAAAAGAAATAAAATTTTTTTCCTTGTGCTAGACAACAAGCTAAAAAATGTAACTTTTATCTACAAAATTTTATAAGTTTAATTGACAAGATCATATAGCATTAGGTAACTACTCATAAAAATATATAAAATGAACTTTGTTGGTTATAAAATATGGGAACAAAATGAAAAAATGTATCATACAGTTTCATATTAATTTTTTTTCTACATAAGTAATAATTTGTTTTGCAACAGGTTTTTCTAATAAAAATATTCTAACAACAATGGCAACATTCAGAAATTTCTCTACAATTTGAATATTTTCAAACTATGAGGAAAATATTTTATTAATATCCATTCCTGTAGCTCAAATGTTCAATGATAGTGCATGAAAATAGTTAATAAAATGTCTGTGAATAGTATAAATGTTATATCTAAGATGTGTCATTTATAACGGAAATACATGCAAAGTTGAACCAGACATGAATTGCTGTGGAGAAGCTTCATATTATTCATGCATTATTGACTGAGATCGCTAGGCTTTTTAACAAAAAGTATATAAAACAATTTCCCAATTATATCTTGAATTTAACATTCTGAAACTACCTCCTTTAGTTTATTATGGTAATATAGCCTTGCAATAACAATGTGGTATTTTAGTTAAAACTGATTTACTGAAAGACTAAATTAAGTAAGCCCACTATATAACACGAGGTTTGGAAAGATATGTTACCAAGTAATAATGAGCTCTGCCAAAACTAACAGGCTGTGTAATACACAATGAAACAATCTTTATTTAGACAAAACAAACAAAGCAACATGTGTACAACACCTATGAATGATGAACACTAGCTTTTAATGGAGTTATGGGTTGATCAGGATGGCTGTATTTCCTCAAGGCTTACTCCCAAGCTGACTGACTCAGACTGAATAAATCTCGCATCACTTAGTTGAATCAGTAATTTCAGACTTACACAAAGCAACTGACACTACTCATATGACTTGTCATTCCCATTCAAACATAAAGGAAGTTCTAACTTCAAGGGACCATTGAAGGATACTGCTATCAACCTTTATACACAAGGTGCAGATTTAAAGGCCAGGTGTTATCTCCATGAAATAACAAAGAAGAAAGTTAGCTAGAATAGAACTGTCCTTCAAGATCATACTTTTCACAAAAAAATACTGAAAATTTCTGTAGAAACATCCACAGCTAAAAAATGATTTATCAAACCTTCTCATCAGGTGTTTCTCCTAAAGCTTCTGATAATCATTTTACAAAAGAAGCTTGAAACAGCAAGTCTTATGTTTTTTATCCAACTGGGAGACACTGTAAACACTCAACTTCTCTAAAATATTTATGGGTTTTTGTTTAAAGAGTTATTTTCTTGATCATCTCATAATTTTCTTGGGAAATTAAGAATGAAGCTTCAACTATGCTTTCTAAGACAACAAACTGCTACACTTTAAACTAGTTATCAGATCTAGAATACTGCTACATTTTAAACTTGTTATCATACTCAGGTCTAAGCCAACAGACTGCTACATTTTAAACTGGTTATCATACTCAGGTCTAAGCCAACAGACTGCTACATTTTAAACTGGTTATCATACTCAGGTCTAAGCCAACAGACTGCTGCATTTTAAACTGGTTATATATGCAGGTATAGGACAAGAGACTGCTGCATTTTAAACTGGTTATCATACTTAAGTCTAGGACAACAGACTGCTACACCTTAAATTAGTTATCATACTCAGTTATCATGCTAAATTTTAAACTATTGTCATACTCAGGTCTTAGACAACAAACAGCCTACACTTTACAATAGTTACCATACTCATATCTAGGACAACAAACAGTCTACATTTTAAACCATACTCTGCAAATAAAGATATGTAATTTTTTATCTCTTCTATTCAATTTTCCAGTTGAAAAAATTCTGGTATCATTTGTACTGAGACTCAGAGCATTGCAACTGTTTAGTACTTTCTAGTTCAGTGGCATTATATTGTTACTTTTGACATGCATTAATAAAAATCAATAACTCAGAAGAATCACCATAACTGAAACACAGATATGTCAAGCATAAAATATGACAATGATTGAATGTTTTTGAACTAAAGTTGTTTTTTAGGAAAGTTAATATTCAACAATAAAATAAAATCCACTGTGACATAGTTATATTTTATGCTATTACTAAATAAACATGTAACTGTAGACCTGAAAGAAAGGTTTCACACGCACTTTACTAATCAAACTACACATATTTTGCGACTCAAAATACATCTGTATTCCTACTTTGTTCTTCTATCATTTTATTTGTTTCACAAAATAAGTACTTGTTCGATAAAATATTTATTCAACATTTAGGTCAAATTACAGATCTGCATTGTTTATGTATTTCATCCCAACTAACACATATTTCAACAGCAACAAAGATATTCACAAACCCAATGATGCCACATGTTAGACCACTTTTTTTAAAAACATTTTGCCATAAAATATCTTAGATACTGTTAAGTATAATAAATATACAGTACTTATCTTATTTATAAAAGTGACTTCTGCACTCTTTCTAAAAGTTACATGTAGCTATTTCAAAATTTTAAGTTTCTTTTTTTCATATTTTAGTAAGTTTCTGTTCATTAAAACAATAGTTATCGACACGATTACCTTGTAACTGGAATATACACCTTTCAAAACATCATATATCTTCATGTATAGAGGAAAGGAATAAAACTGGCCAATACCCACTGATTTACCACTAGGTTTTTCCTTTTCCAACTCATTTTTCTCTGTGAGAAAATGAAGAACAGGAAACAGCTCAAATATTGTTTTGCTTTTATAATAGTGGTCAACATATTATCAACAGCATAAAAAACAAAATAATTTCACTACAACTTCATGAGTCCTAATGTACTTACAACTCAAGAGAAAACCTAAAACTCAATCATTATCACTCATTACAAGATAGTTTATAAGTTGCAATAATGTATTACAAGAAGACTATTTTGCAAATTAATTCTGACTAACATATTCAGGTAATGACAAACAGAAACTGTTGTTTCACAATTGATGTCAATATTTTAAAAAAATCATCTGAATAACAAAAACAACAAGAAAAATACCAAAATTATTGTATGGTATATTCAGGTAAATAAAGGAAAGCTACAATCAAATTGTGTGTTAAAAGTTTTCTATCAAATGGATATTTGTAATATTAGAAACACAAAACTTTCTACAATAAATATTTTAACTGTTGAATTTATACCAACATTTTACTGTATTATGACAAAATTATTTGGGTAGGTATTGTAAGTTATTCATGTAAATTGCACAACTAAACAAAGAGCTAAGGGTATGATTCCAGAAAATTATGACAAAAAATGATCTTTAAACAACAATGAAAATTAAATTGTTTTCAAGTTTGGAATAGACTAACCAATTTAAAAAAAAATAAAAAACTGGACAAGAAATAAACAACATTACAACATTATGAAATGATAAAAATAATTTTATCATTTAGTTAACAGTCTCTGTAAAAGAAATAGCTATTAGAAAATTTAAAGTTGATATTTATCATATTTACATTTCTTTTGGTATTTAAATTTATTATCAATCTTGCTATTAATTTGGCATAAAAAATGGCTGTCTTCATTAATTTCAAATGGTATACTACAATAATAATCATCTGATAATAAGTCACCACATTTTTGTGTACAACTGTAAATGTTGACCTTGATTAGGTCTACTGGGTGAGCTTTTCATTCCTGGCATGCTGGAAGGAACTGGCATTGCTTCATCTTTCCCTTTACTTTTTCGTTTAATGGGACTTAATGAGGGAGGATGTGGCAGAGATGGAAGTGTTGACTTGGCATGAAATGAAGCTGGAAGTTGGTTGTCTAGGATATGTGCAAATATATTTAACATTCTGAAAAGGATATGAATGAATCATTAATAAGCACTGAAAAAAATATAAAAAAAGTTTATGAAAAAACTTGGTTGATAATTGAATTGAAAATTATTACTTAAAAAATTAGTACCTGTGTTTTAAGTAAGTTAATTAGACATTAAATATGCTTTAATTTACTAGCAGGTTAAATTTCCAAAGTTTTTAGTTGAATTGAAAATGTTCCTAGGCCTCAAACACATCGAGAAACTTATTTAACAGTGATGTGATAGCCTTTATAGGGTATCTACATTGAGACAGATAGGTCAATGATTATATTTCAAGCATATAATACGTACTTACACTCACATCAGATCATGCTAAAAATCCCCAAACAGAAGAGGAGGTGGAGAAGCAGTGAAAGAGCCAGGCACACAACAGATAATAATGTTTTTCTGAATTTTTTGTTTATTTGCATAAATTTTCAATCACTGATGTGATCATTGTCAAGTACACAAAGCTTAGGTTAAATCTTAATATGCAAAAATGTATTTAAACACTGAAGTAACTTCACATGCTTGACAACCTTTGAAGATTACAACTGATTTTCATCATTAATACAGAAAGACACCTACTTTAAAGGCTTAACCAACAAAAAAACAATATAATCAACCTTGCAGATATTCAACTCATAAAACCTCAAAATTGCAGTCCTAAACAAAGGTTTTAACTATGCAGTCGCTCTTGTCACCATCCCAGTGTTAGATTTAAAAACCAGTTTTGAAGACCTTTACAGGAAAGTAATATTACAATCAAATCACAAATTCAGTCAACAGCAACTATTCTCAAGTCCAAGATCTCAAGAAGAATTCCCGTCTATTTCATTGTACGACAATAAAGGATCTCGGGAAAATTTCAACATTCCAAAAAAACAAATCAAGTAATCGAAGAAGCAGATGGTGAAGAAAGTTAGACTGAAAACCTCTGTATTGGTTACTTGCTCATCCCAAGGTGCATAATTATAAGAACTTATGAGTGAAAGTAAAAAAAGAATGTATTAATATATCAATCACACTATATCTACTCTATCCAATAGCAATGATGCCTTTTGCCCAACACAAGAGCTCCCAAGGCTGGCTAGAACATGACAGACATGGTATAGGTTGAGATGCTACTAAATTATTTGAGCAACAACTGATCTGTTGTGAACTAGATTACAAGTATTTTCTTATATACACTAACTAAATTCCTTCAAGTAACACAATAGCTACAAAACAATGTTTAATTTACATAAAAGTAATCTGATAAAATATAATAAACTGAACTACCTCATCACATGAGTGATAAGCTGCTCTATGAGAGGGATGACATAGTGTGGTTTCAAAAAACTCCACATTTGATCTGAAGGCATCACATCCTGAGTACCATCATTTTTAGCTGTCAAGTTTTGTAAACAAATTCCTAGATAAAAAAAAAAAGAGAAACAGTTATATTTTTCTAACTATAAAACAAATCCAAAAGAAACACAGCAGTGAAATTTATAACACTATGGGCAATTTTATTCAAAAGAAAAAACCCAGCAGTAAAACTTATGGTTATAATTCTAACATGATTTGAGTCTTACATATAAAGTAACCATCATAAATACTTTGGAAACAGTAAGAAACAGAGCAGATGAAAATGTTCTGACAACAGAAAAAAAAAGGAATAGCTAAATATTCCATGAATAACCTAAAAGTAGAAAAAAATATAACAGATACAATTACTCTGATTATTAAAACATATACAGCATACATGACAATAAAACAGTGATAACAATGTGGTATCCTCTGGTTAAACTGAAATCCTCACAGTATTAGGCAGAATAAAATACTAAGTCATCAGAATTCAAGTAACTGAGAGTAAATGAAGAAATAAACATGATGTGTTATAAAAAAAGTAAAACAATCATCATTTATTTTAAAGACAAAAACTCAGTCAATGTAACTGCATTAGGACACTGGATGGTCATTATATCTGTACAAATGTTCTGGTCAGCAAAAAGACAGCCATATTAGAAGTTAGCAAGCAATAAGGTTAAAGGTCTGGAATTACTGTTTCAAAAAAAAATGAAATAACAAAGTTGAAGATGGTGGTTCCAAAGTGGTAGGACTCAAAGTTCTAAGTTATCAAACTGTTACAGAATGAGGGAACCTAGACTATTCTGAACATACAGAAGGTTATTACCAAGATCAGATTTCCTGGAACTTTAGAACCAACTTTAGTGGAGGGGGAACAAAAGTATAGAAATAAATGGGCCCAGCAATGCTAGTTGACTTTATATTTGGATGGGGATTCTTATGGAGGTCTAGGCATTACTAGCTCTGAGATTCTCCTTAAGTGTAAATGAAAAATATAAGGTCTAGCATTGGGTTACACTGTAACTTTACAGAACACACAGTAAAAGCATAAACTAGCCCTTTATTGTCAGGTTCTTCTAATCTTTTTTTTTAAGGAGGGAATCAAGATTTTCAGTACTGTGTAATCTCTTTATTGTTAAGTTATTCACTCACCAGACCACATAACCATAAATACATCTGGGGCTTAAAACATAAACTTACAGTGCCATGTCCCATCAAAAACAATTGGGGCTTAAAATACAAACCCAGAGTATCACATAATATAAAAATATCTGTGACTTACAAGATAAACCCACAGTATCATACACTATAAACACAAATGGGACTTATAACATGAACCCACAGTGTCCCAAGTCCAATAACCATTTACGGTTCATAAAACTCTCGAGCAAGTCAACAAACCTCAATAATATAAAATAACTGTAAACTCATATTGTTACAGTTAGGTAATCATGAGTAAATGCTAATATTTCTTGAGGACTGTCAAAGATATGGTAGCTTTTCACAACTTTACTACAGCTGAATCCCACAAGCTATAAATAAAACTGTTTTTCTGACATCTTCCATAGTCTAGGAAATGACCATTTTCTCCAACCAAGTGCTGTTTTGGCCTATTAATCTGCTGGAGTATAGAAGTGCACATCTACATCTACTATGATCAAAAAGCCTCTGTGGTATCACTTCTATGACAGGTTGGCCTGAAGAATAACCATTTCCAAAGTTTCTATAAGCCTGATTGTTATTACTGCACAATGTTGAACCCCACTAGAAGTAAAATTCTCCATAGAGTCACCCCAATGGACTCGAACAATGTACTACAGTTTATGGACAAAGACAAACCATAAGTTGATTTATATTACTTAAACAATAAACAGGCATGATAATTAAATACATATAGTAAGTAAAGTTGTGGTGATTAGATATTAATCATTGTCAGGGTAAGTAACATAACATAACGTTTTGGGACAACATGGGACATATTGGTCCACCTTGGTTCCATCCTCTAAACTAAATTAAAATAATTAAGAAAAAAAAAAATTAAAACCAGCCCTTATCATTTATATACTTAAATTTACTGCCTCTACAACATCCAAAGGCTAACCACTCTGTTAGAAAAATTAAACTGTCTTATTTGAAGATGACTCCTACCTTGCCAAAATTCATAATATCATCTGCAAATTTAAGAAATTTATTGACTATTCTTTCATCTATGTTATTGATGTAAATCAAAAAGAGCACAGGTCCCAAGACTGAGCCCTGAGGTACCCCACTTGTGACATTAACCCAGTTTGACTGAACTCCTTTGTAACAACCCTCTGCTTTCTTTCATCCAGCCACTCTTTTATCCAATTTGCTAATTTATCCCCCACACCTATAGAGATAATTTATTTACAAGCCTATTTTTTGTGGCAACTTGTCAAATGATTTCTGAAAATCCAGATACACCAAATCTACACCTTTACCCTTATCTACATAAGCAGTAACCTTTTCAAAGAATGTCTAAAGAATTATAAGGCAAGATTTTCCTTTATTGAAACCATGTTGACCATCCAATAAAATTCTAAACTTTGTTAAACGACTTTGCAAAGCATCTTTTAAGACATTCCAAAACTTTTCCCACAACTGTCGCTTTTTTTTAGATGAAAAAATTCGAATAACTTATATATCAAAACAAAACATTTTTAAAATGAAATAGTCTTAATTTTTATCA